TCCTCCGATTTCCTGCTCACTCAAACTCATATGCATGGAATTGGGGGGGAGCATGGCAGCCCCAAAGAGGTCTCTCTCTTCACACACACAGCTCCCCACGGTATGGGCAGAGGAGTAAGGTCATGTCTTATGCCCTTATATTTTCCTACACAGGCATGTAGGATGGGCCACAATCTGTCCCTAGGGGCTCAGTTTTAAATTCAGAGTAAGAAGAAGGCTGGCACTACACCTAGGAAGGTGTAAAAGCCACAGTCCAGCTTCCATCCTGCCATTTTTTGGAGGGGAAGACATCACCCACAGAGGTACTAGCAAGGAGCTGCCTTTGTTTTCAGGGTTGTCTGCAGCCACTGTGCAAAAGATGGAGGCTTCTTTCACTCTCCTCCATCTCTGCACTTGCTGGGCATTGGCCCTAAATGAGCACTAATATTAAAATGGATGAAGATTAGTACTACACCACACTGCTCCAACCCTATGCTTAATGATATGGATATATGGTTGATTTTGTCATAGAAGGCTTTTACATGCATGCCGGGAATCATAGAAATATAGGGCTGGAAGGAACCTTAAAAAGTTGTGAAGTCCAGGCCCCTCTGCTGAGGCAGGATCAAGTAAATATAGACAAACCCTAATAGATACTTGTCCAACCTCTTCTCAAAAATGTCAAATCATCGTGATTCTACAATCTCCCTTGGAAGCCTATTCAGAGTTTAAGATTTTCCTAATATCTAATCTAAATCTCCCTTGCTGCAGATTAATCCCATCACTTTTTGCCCTATCTTCAGTGGACATGGAGAACAATGGTTCACAATCCTCTTTATAACAGCACTTAACGTATATGAAGACTTTTCAGATCCCCCATCAGTCTTCTTTTCTCAAAACTAAACATACCCAGATTTTTTTAACCTCTCTGTGGAGGTCAGATTTTCTAAACTTTTTCTCATTTTTGTTGCTCTCCTCTGGACTCTTTCCAATTTGTCCACATCTTTTCTGAAGTATGGTGCCCACACCTGGATACAGTACTCAAGCTGACACCTTACCAATGCCAAGTAGAGCAGGAAAATTACCTCCTGTGTGTTATATACAATGCTTCTTTTAATACACCCCAGAATAATATTTGACTTTTTCACAACTGCATCACATTGTTGAGTCATTCAATTTGTCATCCACTATTACTCCCACATCCTCGTTAGCAGTACTACTAGCCCATTATTCCCCATTTTGTAGTTGTGCATTTGATTTTTTCCTTCCTAAGTGAAATACTTTGCACTTATGTTTATTCAGTTTCACCTTGTTGATTTCTGACCAATTCTCCAATTCATCAGGGTAATTTTGAATTCTAACCCTGCCCGCCAAAGTGCTTGGAATGCCTCCCAACTTGATACCTGCAAATCTTATAAATATACTCTCTATTAGCCACGTCACTAATGAAAATATTAACTAGTACCAGATCCAGGACTTACCCCTGTGGGGCTTCACTAGAGAGACAATCCCAGTTTGATAGTGAACATGGTCTTTGAGAATGATCTTTCACCCAGTTCTGCACCCAGTTTATAGTAATTTCACATAGCCTGCATTTCCCTAGTTTACTTATGAGAATGTCCTGTAGGTCTATGTCAAAAGCCTTACTAAAATCAAGATATATCATGTCTATTGCTTTCCCCCATCCACAAGGCTAGTAACCCAAGAAGGAAATTAGTTTGTTTTAGCATGATTTATTCTTAACAAACCATGCTGTATCTTTCTTATGACCTTATTATCCTCCAGGTGCTTACAAACTGATGGAACCAATTATTAAACAAATATCTTTCCAGGTATGTAGGTTAAACTGACTGGTCTCTAAGGGTATCTCTACACTTACCCGGTAGTTCGGCGGCGAGCGATTGAACTTCTGGGTTCGACTTATCGCGTCTTGTCTGGACGCGATAAGTCGAACCAGGAAGTGCTCGCCGTCTACTGCGGTACTCCAGCTAGACGAGAGGAGTACCGCGGAGTCGACGGGGGAGCCTGCCTGCCGCGTGTGGACCGAGGTAAGATCGAACTAAGGTACTTCGAACTTCAGCTACATTATTCACGTAGCTGAAGTTGCGTACCTTAGTTCGATTTGGGGGGTTAGTGTAAACCAAGCCTAATTCTCCACCTCCTCTTTGTTCCCCCTTTTAAGGATAAGTACTACATTTGCCCTTCTCCATTCCTCTGGGATGTCACCTGTCCTCTATGAATTCCTGAAATAATTACTAATGGTTCTGAGATTGCTTCAGCTAGTTCCTTAAGTACCCCAAGACAAAATGTCATCAAGCCTTGCAAACTTGAATACATCTAACTTATCTAAATATTCTTTAACCTGTTTTTTTCCTATTTTGGCTTGTGTGTCTTCCCCCTTATTTCTTAATATAATTGTGTTGAGCATCTGGTCACCGTTAACCTTTTTAGTGACCACTGAAGCAAAATAGGCATTAAACACTTCGACCTTCTTGACGTCATCAGCTATTAGCTCTCCTTTCCTGCTAAGTAGAGGACCTACACTTTCCTTCATCATCCGATTAGTTCTATCCTCCAGCTGGTCTTGTATTTCAACATACAGTTTTTGTCTGGAAATTTGATCAAGATAGATAAGTAGGTCCTGACAGGATGGTCCAAGTGCACACTTATCTCTATGGTAGCTTCTGATGATCAAGGAGAAAGATGTTGGTGATCAAGGTCTAGTCCCTCAAAGGTAGTTAAGCACCTAGCTCCCATTGAGGATTTGGGCCCCAGTTTTTAGTAGTCTGTGCGTCGGATTTAGCCACTATTACTCACATTGAGTAGCACCTTACTCCACAAGTGTTCCCAAATATAACAACAGAACTACTCGTGGAGTCAGATGAGTAAGGGTTGGGGAATTAGGTCCTTTTGCATCTATCACCTTTAATTATATAAACACTACCTTTAACACCATTACCAGATACCATAAAACCAAACTTCAACAACTGTGGTTAAAACATGCTTTCAAATAAATTAAGGGTCAAATCCTTGGAAGTGCTGAGCACCTGCAATAGGACTTCAGAAGTATTGATCCCTGACAGTATAGTTTCCACAGAGGTGATGATTTGAGACTGACCAAATATGCAGTTTATAAAGATAGGTACATGGAAACATAACATTGAATTATATTCTGATAAATCAATGTTTTACAGAACATTTCTAAGAAGTTCTCTACCTACAATTTAACATAATTTATCTAGGAATTTGGACAGCTGTTCAGATGTTACAAAATAAATCTCTCCAAATCTGAAGCTATGCCAATGTGTTTTAGTGATATTGCCAAACATAAGCCTACAACTTTCTCTGCCATTTAAATGATCTAATAAAAAAATAAGTACCTGGGGATTTTTCTTATTCCCTTGATTAATTCCCTTTCGAAGGTTAACTTCCCTTCCTTCCTTAGTAAAATGCATAAAAATGTGCTATATTAAAAAGACATACAGTTCAACTCAACATGTAAAGGCTATCAAAATGAACTTGTTACCAGTGCTTTATTGCTTACTGAGACCATTTTTGTACTTTACCCTCATCATTCAGCTGGAGACTGTTTAATCCCAGAATCAAACTAAAAACGTTGCAGTTTTGTAAAGAATGACAGTCCCCAACTTTAAATTGTGTCTTCTGTTATATTAGTAACTGCTTCCTTTTATACCAATGTCACAGGAAAGAGATGGGGTGGAATTCAAGTCAGGCATTAAATCCTTTGATGACTTTAACCTTCAGAACGTTGTGAGTGTAGTGGTTAGAGCAGTAGCCTGACAATGCTGTGTTCTCCATATCTGCAATGTACATTGCCTGCGTGCACCTGATAGCATTGTCTTTGATTTAATTTAAAGAATCCTTGCAATAATATATTAGTGAAGAAAATTAAGAACATCATGTTATGACCAATGGTGGATTAAGGCATAAGCAGTATGGAGCATGCCTATGACCTCAACTTTTGAAGTCACATGAGATCATAATCTTAGATTTCATTTAAATACAATATTTCTAGCCTTCGTGGTTGTGAAGAAGAGCCCAACTATACCTGCTGCAGCAATTTCTGCCAGGTAGTGCAGACAGCTCAGAATAACTGGAAAGATTTGAACAGCTCCATGCATCTCAGCTCTCACACCTGTTGCTTTTATGGTGCCCTCTAATAATACAATAGGATCATTGTGTAGTAAGGGTAAGTCTTCCTGCTGCCATTATGTCATGATGTTGACTTCCACCTAGTCTGTCAATCATAAGTAATTATATTATGACCCCCATTATCATAGTAGCCCTATTTATCCTCATACCAACCCTGTAAGACAAGGAAATGCTACTATCCCCATTTCACAGATGGAGAACTGAGGCACAGAAAGATGAAATAATTTACCCAGGTAATATGTAGCAGAACAGGGACCTGAACCAAGGTCTCCAAAAGCCAAGATTAGTGCCCTAATCACTGACCTATCCTTCATCTCATGGGTCAGAGTCCTCTATGTGGGTGGATGCTGAGTCTTCTTTCTTTGGGACACAACCCAGCTGGCCTGAAGACAGGAAGAGGGAGATGGAGAATGTTGTGCCTACAAAAGATGAGAAGGGCAGATCCCACACAACACCAGCAAATTACTCTTATGTGCTATAGCCCAAGCAGAGGTGGAACTGCACCATGGGGTGGAGTTTGAGGTGAGGTCTATCTTCAGCCCTACATTGCCTTAATGTAGCCCTAGTTATGATTGTTTCCTGTTGTCCTGAAATGTATCTTTGCTACTACCTATTGTATAACTACTAATCGTTACAGGTAAGGTTTCTGTTATACAGGAGGTCAGGCTAGATTACCACAATGGTCCCTTCTGGCCTTGGAATCTATGAAGCAAGGTATCATGCTGGCATTCATGGACATAAATCATTTGTCATCCATTGAAGGTTAGGGGATTACACAGCTAAGTGATAAAATAAAAACTAAAGCCCCTATCCTTGATAAAGCTTTGCTTGTTTTGTCTTTCACTTAGGATTACCGAGTGAATATCTTTCTCCGTCAGAATTGGAATGATCCACGCCTTGCATATAGTGAATATCCAGATGACTCTTTGGATTTAGATCCATCCATGTTGGATTCTATTTGGAAACCAGATTTGTTCTTTGCTAATGAAAAAGGTGCCAACTTTCATGAAGTTACAACAGACAACAAGTTGTTACGAATTTTTAAAAATGGAAATGTTCTTTATTCTATCAGGTGAGTCTCTGACAAAGGAATTTTTTTTTAATACTTTTAACAGGCAGGGACACTTGGAACTGGATATCTCCAATTGTTATTTATGCAATTAAATGATGCAGTGAAGTCAATGTGATTTTTGAGTGCTGAATTGGTATTACAATAGCACCCACAGGCATCAAAAGAGAACAGGGCCCCATTATACTGGGCACTTTACTTACCCATAGAAAGAGATCACCCCTGCCCTGAAGAGCTTATGATCTAAACAGACAAGACAACATGTGGGAAAAAAATAAAGAATTATTATCCCCATTTTACAGATGAGGAACTGAATCACAGAGAGATTATGTGGCTTGCCCAGGGGCAACAGGAAGTTTTTGGCAGAGCCAATGAGAAAACACAGACCTCCTGAGCATTAGTATTTGGGCAGGGCTATAAATGGGTTCAAATTCTAGCCTTCATTCTAAATATTTTCCCATGATCACAAATGTTCAGGAGACCAGAGATGATGCTTTTCACATAGTCCTATCCCCCCAGCCATTTCCTCCTTCCTTCACTTAATTGTTGTAGCTGCTCTTAAATGTGGAAACTAGGAACAGTTTAATATATCAGTAGCCACATAGTACTCAAAGAGCTGCTCACATATTACTGGGAGGGAGAAGCATGTTGGAGACAGAAGTATTCACTTTTTTTTTACATTTTGTGAAACTTTTTGAAAGTTGTATCTACCTAACATGTAATAAAACAATATTGATAAAATCAAGTTACTCTGATGATTACCACCTTGCTTCTCTTCTCCTCTTTAACACTTCTGCTCTGGCTTTACTGTAGCAGCCAATGTTCTCATAAACACTTAAGTCCAGATCCTCAAAAAGTATTTAGGCATCTAACGTTGATTTCAGTCCTTAACACTAGAGATTACTGACTTGTACCATTTGAAAGTTAGGCTTTGAAGCTTTCATAAGGTGTATGTAATTGGTTTTAGCTCTAACACTTTTCAAGGTATCACCCATTACTTCTAGAAACTGAGGTGTGTGTAGGGGGAAGATAATAGTAATCAAAAAGGTGTGATTTTAGTGTCCCATGTGGTATTTCACAAATTAGTACTAGAAGTCAATAATAAAGTGTTTCAGGAGTGCAGTTCTAGGTCCTGATTTTCCTTTGCATTACTTTCCAGTTTTACACTAATCACCACTTCACACTTTTACCTGTGTCCTAAAACATCCAATCTACTTGACAGATTTATTTGTAAAATACATCTATCACCATTGCCATATGGAACAGCAATTCAATTTTACATTGACGGCCAAATTTTTGATCAACTGCACTTTAACTCATTTTTCAGCATTCCCCTCAGTTTTATGATAGTACATTTCAGAACAAAATGTACTCCTCTCATTTGGTGTTTCACCTTGCATGCTTTTAAGGTATTGCATTCTACTGTGGGGCCTTCTGGTCTGATAAAGAGAGGAGTCTGCATATAAACTGATGCATTAGAAGACTGGACAAAATGCTGTTCTCATATTTGGGTGCACTACTGAGGGAAGCGTGCTCAGGAAGTCTCCCTCCTCCCAATGCTCCAGGGCAGCAGTTTGTCTCGATTAGCAGGTAGGATCCCTGGCAATTTTTTCCAAGAGCACTTCTATGTCTCAAGGAGGCCTGGTTGGCCAGTCTGTGAAAATAGTCAGGGCCCCTGTTCTCTTGCATGCACTTGACCATTGACAGCTGGCTGTAAGGGGGCACAAAGTACTCCCCTTTTGGAGCACAAGTAAGGAGCACTGCTGCGTGAACTGTCTCCAGATTCTCTAATTCATCCTGACATGCATGGGCAAGATGGCTCTTGGAATCCATTCAGACACTATCATTCTGACCCATCTTAGTTCCTCCTTTTAATTACATACGGCACAGATTGACAAGGGCAAGAGTTGAATTTAAGGACCAGAGTTGGATTTAAGGCTCAAATCGAAGTCCCATTGAAGCCTCTGGAAATTTTGCTAATGACTTCTATGGGATTTGGTCTGTCTTGTCTGGATCAGATAGAATGAAGTAGTTTGAGTGCACATTGAAAAGAATGTGACACATTACTGTACTAAAGGTATAATACCAAACATTAATTGTGCTGAGAGCAAACTCCAATTAGTTCACACAGTTCTTGTGGTGCCAGGGTAATTCCAGTGATTACTCTATCATAATTTAATTGCCAAAATTTTTCAACAGGAATAACAGACCCAATCAATGAAAAAGACTCAAAATTGTATAATCAACATGTAGGTGAATATTCATCTGAATTTGTTAGTTTTGCAGTGATGAATATAGAGAAGGTAATTCTGAAATACTTGTCATTCAAAGGAGAATGTTGAAAACCCTTAAAGTGCTGAGTTTTCTTTTTCCAATCAAACATAATTGCAAGTGAATAACATATGCAGACCAGAAGTGAATGATGAATGTAGTCACATATATATGTTAGTGACCATGAAAGAGCCACTTTTCAATTTAGACTTTGTTTTAAATTAGAATTTACATTTAGACTAGTTCTTTGAAAAAGTAAAGACAAGGGGTCAGATTATCAGTCAGCCCCCATAATGGGGACCTTCTGTAACAGGGCAGTTGTGGTTTCCCCTTCTGTAGGGGATCCCTGTCTACAGGGGACCCCAAAGTGGTATAAAGCTGTCATATCTGGCTCTATGCACACAGTGCACCAAAAGTGGGAAGGGGCATGGGCAGAACATTCTGTGCACTAATGATCCATGGCCAATGGAACAATACCTAATGCCCTCCTACTCTTACTTGCTCTTGAAGCCAAATTGAACTAACACCAGAGTTCTGAAAAGTCTTGTTCACACTGCATTGACCTTCTGCCAGCTGACCTGTTGAATTTGACAGCAAGCTGTGCATCTCAAACATCAACCACTACCATCATTGTCAGATAATGCTGCCAGTGTCCTCCTGCCATAAAACTTTCAGACCTTGCATCTAAATTTGCCCCTGACAGATGTTTCCATGGGAGGTCATTGTGTAACAATCTACTTGCTATATTTACATACCTTTTCTGATTTTATTGGTAGCTACAGAGATTTACTTTTGCTAGCATCTTTCTCTGATCAGTTAAAATGAATGTGATTGTAAAACAAAGTAGTCACTGTGAAAGGTCATTTGCATCACTTTCTCCCTGCAAGCCTTTTCTAGGTGCTGGCATGGAGCCTAAAGACATATACACTTTTACTTTTAGCCATACAATTTAAAATACAAGTGATCCCCAATAGATAATAAAACCTTTTCAGTGTGCCATTTCTGCAGAAATTTGTATTTAGGTCTTTTTATAGTCCATATGTTCAAGCAGAAGCAAACTTCATATGAAGTCAATGGGACTTTTGTGAGGAAAAGGAATCCAGGGATCAGGCCCATTGTCTATATTCTCAGGTCTGGTCTATACTTAAAACTTAGATCCATATAGCTATGGCACACAGGGGTGTGAAAAATCCACAGCCCTGAGCACTATGGCTATGCTGACCTAACTCCCAGGGTAGATGTGACTAGGTCAACAAAAGAATGTGTCTGTCAATCTAACATTTCTCAGGGCAGTAGAGTTCCTTCAGCTACAGAAAACCCTTGTTTTGCTATAGTCTGTGTCTGTACTACAGGCTTATAGTGACAGCTATAGCACTGTAGGTGTACTGCTATAGCACCTGTAGTGTAGACATCGCCTCACTCTGGTATAATTATCATGCATCTGGGATAAGAGAGTTTATTAATATACTTTGTGTAAGGGTCAAGAAGAAATCCTATAAGAAATCTTCTTAATTGACACTATTACATTTTCTCTTAACTGAATGTTCCCACTGAGTGGATCCAAATGAAGTTAAAAAATGTTGATTACATTTAGTTCTAATTCAAGGTTCTGTAATACTAAACTTTAATTTAGCAATTATGTCTAATCAGCAGAATAACACAGAGTGCTCTTACAATCAATGCTGTCCACTTTATAACAGCACCACTATTTATGTATTTATTTATTATGAGTAATTTCCACTTGATTACATATAGTATCATTACTCATAGAAGCAATCAGAATACCTTATACTCACATTTTGATAATTGAATTTAATATTTCTGTATTAGTATTTTTGTAGCAATTTATAACTGATAAATTAGTCTTGGATCATAAAAAGCTCCCCATTAGTCTGTGGAATAGTACCCCCAAAGAAAGAGGTGAAAACCTAATTCCTGGAAACACTACAAATTAGATTGGATAAAGTGAGATTTACAGAAGTGTTTCTCAAACTGGGGGTCTCCAAGGGTATTCCAGGGGGTCCGTGGGCCCCGCTGATCAACTCCTCCCCCTTCACAGCTGTTCTGTGGCATGCAGGAGGTGCTGGGAGGGAGGGAGAGGAGCAGGGATAGGGTGCACTCAGGAGAGGGGGCGGAATCAAGTCCAGGGCCGCGGCCCCACTGATCAACTCCTCCCCATCCCTCCCAGCACCTCCTGCAAGCCAGAAAACAGCTGTTCTGTGGCATACAGGAGGCACTGGGAGGGAGGGGAAGGAATCAAGTCCGGGGCTGCCAGCTCTGCTGATCAACTCCTCCCGCTCCCTCTCAGTGCCTCCTGCATGCCAGGGAACAGCTGTTCAGCAGCCTGCAGGAGGGGCTGGGAGGGAGGGGAGGACCGGAGATGGGGTGTGCTTGGGAAAGGGAGCAGAAAGAGGCAGGAAAGAGGAGGGGAAGGAGCAGGGCTTTGGGGGAAGGGGTGGAGTGGGGGCAGAGCCTGAGGCTGAGTGGGGAACTTGGGGGTCCGCAAAAAATTGTAAATCAAAATGGGGGTCCTTGGGTTGTTAAAGTTTGAGAACCGCTCGTTTACAGTATTATGGGGAGAGGGGGAGAAATCCTGCATTAGCAAGAAAGGCCTACATTACCAAATAAGCCTTTACCATTTCTCGTTTAGGCCCTGAAATCAGCAGAGCATTTAAGTACATATTTAACTTTAAACATGTGCTTAAGTTCCACTGGGCTTGATTCCCATTTACCCTAAGGCATCTTTATACTATGCATTACATTATATGACCTTTTTATACTGCCAGAGTGGTATAAAGGGGCTGTACTGCAAATAAGAAGCAGCTCGTTGACTTCCATGGGACTTAAACACATGCTTAAGTCCTTTGCTGAACTAGGCTTCAAATGATAGAGCTTTATTATACCTTATAGCACTGCCCCGTGCAGAAGGTGGTACAGGACTGCACCACCTCAGTGGGAACAGCAAGTCCAGGTTGCCTCCAGAGTTCCCTAACACACCAGGGTAGCATGCCCAGAAGATGCTGCCCTTGCTACCTTCTGTGGCTGGCTAGCTCTATAAGCCAGTGTGAGTTTAAGGGGTGGAATGAGGCTCGACCTTTCTGTGCCCCTTTTGGGATGACCTGTGTCTCAAGAGATGCTATTATGGAACAGTCCCTCTGCATATTTTTGACTGACTCCTGCATAGGAGATGCATACGGAAGGAAGGGTCCTTGTAAGGCTGCTATTCACCCACCCAAAGCTTAGCCAAAGTCTGATCCATACTATATAATTTTCAACAGTATGCTGTCAAAGAAACTACACAACAACTGAAAGGCCAATAAAATATCTCCATGATATGATTCACAGTAGGAACTATGAAAGCAAAACTGTTTTCTTTCTCTGTGCATCTCTTCTTTCTTATCTCTCTAGCAAGTATTACACTAAATATAAATTATGGTATTATTTTAATATTTAAAAATAAGTTTAGTGCCTATAGAACTGCAATCTGGCTTACTAAAAATATTATGGCACAAAATGCAGTTTAAAATCACAGGTGCTTTTCTTTAGTATAATACTGACAACTGAAACATCACCTTTAACATGTTAATGTTGGGAATTTAACTGTATTGCCTGTTAGGATACAAATGCTTATATTACTCTGCCAGCATGAGTTGCACCTGGCATCTGTTATGTAATTCCTGTAGGAGACAGTGTCTTGGTAAATTGTATGCCAAGGATATGAAATACTGTAATATCTTTGTACACTTATAGTAATATTTAGAAATGTCAGCGCATTTCTGTGGAATACCCACTGAGTTAGAGAATATGTCTGTAATAAATAATATTTTAGAATAGTTTTAGGTTTTGACTCTCCATTTTTTTGTTTTTTTTTTATCACAAATGCAAAGCAGGGTTCTTACAAGAGAGTCAGAATGGTTCAATTGTTTTCATAGTTGTTAGAGTGTTTCTTACAAATACATTGAGTTATTTTCAACTACCACTAACCACAGGTGTGTTAACATTTTTGTTCTGTGCTCCCTATGGTATTTGAGGTATATTTTTAATAATGGTTTTATATTCTTTCAGATTGACTTTAATACTGTCCTGTCCAATGGATCTCAAAAATTTCCCAATGGATGTGCAAACATGTATAATGCAGCTGGAAAGTTGTAAGTGTGAACAAAGTATTCTTCTACAAATAACAGTATAAAGATGACAATACATGCTGGGATAGAAAAGGTGGTAATAGAGAATTTTGCATTTTCCAAAATAAGCATGTTTTGGAAGTATTCTGTACAATTATGGCCTTCCCATACACTATACAGCACTGCTTGAATCCAAAAAACTTCTTAAGGGCCAGAATCTGCCATCCTTACATTGAGTAGTATTATGTAGATAGTAAATTACTTCTCAGAATGAGTAAGGGTTGCAGATTTTGGTCCACAGGTTGTAAAGTTATATTTATTTTGAGAGTTTTGTGGAATTATTTCAGAATGGTTCCATAATTCTAAAAGTCACAGATTAAGATGGAAGTACTCACCAAAGCTCATATAAATTCAGCCTGATTTCAGGGGCCTGCATTTCAGTATTAATAGTATTCAGTTTTTAGCATGCCTATGCAGTATTTTTTCCTAGAATTCTGTTCATTTAAAAAAAATGTAATACTGTATGTTGGCATAAATTCTCGTTTCTATTACACAAATGTCAGTAACATCAGAATATGGCCCTTTATTCACTAAGGGCCCTTTCTAAAGTCTTTATTCAGAGTTGGCAGGAAAGGATGGTACCCCAATAAAATAAAGTGAGAGATTAGTCTACACACTCTGTAAATACCCTGAAATCCACAGGGATCCAGAAGGAAAAGAGTCAAGAGTCATCCATACAAAGGCCCTGCTCCTCTGATCTGGCCCATCTCTGTAGCTCTACAATGTTCCCATTAGATTCCCATGTCTCTGGCTTCCCTTGGGACCATCCTAAAAGGGGGATTTTCCCAACATAGAGGAGAGAGCTGTGGAAAGGAAATACATCCTTTGGCTGTATTTATGGTGGAATTTCCACTTGGCAAAGATAGGATGATATGCATCCCCCATGTACTCCACCCCTCAGTCCACCCACCTTCTCAACCCACGCAACTCCTTGAATCCACGGAACATCCTGTCTAGGATCCATGGAAAAGGCAGCATATTGAGCCCACTCTGTAAGGGTGGCAGAGATCTACATATGGAAGAGACCATCCAGGTAGAGATCAGTTGAACATAAATATGCCCCTTGATCTTTACCAAGTCAAAATTTCTTCTGACATCAAAGGACTGTATAATGAAGACTTACTGATGGACTCAATGGAATTTGTATCAGATAACCAGCTTGCCGTTTAATGGCGCCAACAAAAAACAGTAGAGAAAGAAAGGCCTAATGGTATTAAGTTCTTCAACTTAAAGCATTAAAATATATACAAAGAGTGAAGCTTTAACACAAACACAGCAATTATTATCTTTAATTCCACACTGGAAAAAGTAAGCATACTAGTCTAAGTAATTTATATGCTATTGTTAGGCCTCCATTTGAGTATACATATCTCCTTAATTGGAAAAAGATTTAAAGACTTCAGATTAAAGGAACAGTTCAGTTGAAGTATATCTGAGTTAGAGAATACTCACCACTCATGTGAAACAAAAATGATGCTTGATAACTCAACTCCCCATATGCTATGCATAATATCTATCTCAAGAGGTCCATTAACACAAAATGCAAGATGAATATGTAGGAGCATTATTTCTTTCCACAATCTAAACTGTGCCCGTGCTATTTTTTTAAAAACACAATTAAGGCCCAGATGACTCCTCCATTGATACATAAATGGAAGGGAGCCTCTGTTCACAATACTCCCTCCAGCTGTGAGAAAAGGCGCTTAGTCACCTCCACGGAACCATTCCCCCATTCGGCTCTGGTACCTGCAGAGGTACTCTAAGGTTCTGGGATTTGAGCTAGTGCAGAGGCACAGGACACCCATACAGATGGTCTGGACCTCCCCTAGTCTCTGCCGTGTTTATGGATGGCTTTTTCTGCAAAGGGGACAAACCCCCCACTTACTATGGGATAATTTGGATGTGATGTCTGGAAGAGAGTTCATCCCCCACATCCCTTTCCTGAAAGTGTTTCTACAAGAGGGGATGATGTATACCAAGAGAACCTTCACTGATGAGAAATGAGTCAGTTAAGAATTGTGTGAAAATTAGTGATACACAAAGACAGAAATATATAGCATAAATATAAATATATATCGTATAGTATCCTCTTTGCTTTATATTTTTAGTATTGGAATTAAAATGTTCATAAGTAAAAGTATTAATGAGATTCCTGAATCTAGAATGTGCATACTGGATTATTTAGAATATTAAGACAGAGAAGCAGAACAGATGCCTAACTTGATGGATGAGTTTCTTACAGTGTTTCAGAACTATGTGTACGTTGAAGGGTTGAAAGAGGCATCATTAATTTTTTTTAGTTGGAACAGGGAGAAGCAGTGAGAAAGGTGAATAAACATCATTGGGAGGTGATTCAGCATCACTGAATCTGTCAAAATTATTTGCTGTATAGGCTTTTAAAAAACAAATTGCAGGGTGATTTTGAAAGTTAGTCCTGCCTTTCATTACAGTGGGTGGATGGTAATATTGTCAAGTGGTCTCTGAATGTCAGATTAATGGCTGAGCCTAACAGGAATTTTCCTGACAAAAAATGGAATGGCAACCTTAGTTACTTGTTCCAAAGGTCAAGGCACTTTAGGTCATACTGCACAATCAGTGTTTACACAGAACTTTTCATTGAGCACAATGGAAAAGCTTTTTAATAACTGATGCCATGATCTGGCTTTTTATAATTAAGTGTAACTACAGCAAAGGTTACCAGGAGGCAATTATATTGGAGCGCATACGTATGCCAAGTACATGTGCTCTATACAATAATGTTTCCACAAAGCAAACAAAAATCATATTTCACTGAACAAACAGAAGATAATTGAAAACCTCTTTTTGCATTCAGAAAGTTCTGAGCTTTAACATACAATCTTGAAACATTTACTTGATTTAAAAATTTCATAAAACCTTTCTATGTTTTTCCTCTCTTTTGACCATAGTAAGCATAGATAATACAGCATCTGAACATTCTTATGCAATAGAATTTGCTTTGTTTTATAGAAAGCTTGCAGGAGCTCACAAATTCTCACAAACTGCACCCCAGGGAACCAACAAACACTTATTAGCTGAATAGCACTATTGATGTTCTAATTTCCAGCAGAACATTTTGCACTGAAGTCTTCATGTTAATCATCCATTTCAGTGGGAGTAAATCCCCTGTTGCATAATCATGTGGCACACACAGATGATATTCACAAAGTTAAAGAGTGTACAAAAATACAAATGAATTTTTCTGTTGTAAATACACAGTCTTCCAGTCACAGCAATAAATGGTCTATAACCTTATTCAAAAATGGATAGGTTGTCATAGCTCTTACTTGGTTGCACAAGTCAGGGGACATACCCCTCATGGCCCCCCGCCTCACTTGCGCCCCTGCTTCACCCTGATCGGATTGTGACTCCAGATGTAGGCAGAAGAGTTGGGGCTCCCACTGCAGTCAAGTGAGCTGGGAGGGGGAAGAGAAGTTTGGGGTGGGGAGAAGCTCCACCCACCTGTCTGACAGCCAGAGTAGCTGACTCGGATTTTCAGGAAGTAAACTGCTCCATGAAAAAGGTAGGAAGCAACTTAATCCCCACCAAGAGCAAGGAGCAGAAGAGGAATTCTCATAATTCATTCTCTGAGATGCTCCTTCAGTGGTTCAGCTATTTTCTGTCCTTTAGTTAAGACAGACTGTCAAGTTACGATTTAAGTCAAAGCATTGTAAACAATACATTCACTACCATTCCACGGAAAATCAAAACAGTAGCACATAAATGAATTAGCATGGATTCTGGAGGTCCTCATTCCACATATGGTACCCCCAACTATCTAAGAAGAAATATGGCCCAGTTCATCTGTGCCTTGAATTTAACCACCTCCTTTACCAACATTGTGCCTTTGATCTAGACCAGGGATGGTCTAGACAGTATTTGGTCCTGCCATGCGGGCAGGGGACTGGACTCGATGACCTCTCGAGGTCCCTTCCAGTCCTAGAATCTATGAATCTATGAATCTTTTCCTCTGTAATAAAGGACTTTTAGTGGGTTTACTAGATGGCCTCTTTATAAACTCAAAATATACAGAAGAACTTGATTTTTCTGTAAATATTTCATGAGGCCGAAGCTGGAACAATCAGGGTTATTTTCTTATAACAAATAACCAGAAATGGTTTTGGACAATTATTTTTTCATCTATTTATTTTCACTTCCATCAGCGTTGAGCCTGCAAACCTTACTCATTTGAGTAGTGCTGATGCTTGAGTAGTCCTGTTTAAGTCAATGAGACTGCTTCCATAAGGATTACTCACCTGAGCAAAGATTTCAGGGCTCACAGCTATTTATAACAGCAAGCTGCAATATGTATAACTCATTTCTTACTGGAATCTCTCTTAAGGGCAAATGAGCATGTTGTGAAATAATGCTACTGCTTAGTAGCAGAATCTCAATCACTGCTGCTGTTGTTCCCCCTGCATGGAGGGCTCTAAGTGCAGCACTTGTTTACAGCTTTTCTCCCCAAACCATTCCTTGGGGACATGTTCAGTCTTCAGCAGCTCTTGAGACAGTATTCCCAAGGTCTCTCCAACCCCTTGGCTCTACAGCTGTGGTATCCGGACAGTGACATACATTATTTATATCAGTAGGCGGTGTAGGACTTTTTTATTGCAAATATTTCTGCAATTTTTTAAGAATGGGTTTTACCAAACTCTTACTGAAAAATAGTTTTCTTTATCTTTACCAACTAAAATGAACTGGTTGGGGCTCCCCTCCATCTCCTTAAAGCAAGACCAGATATCTTTTTAAAGACCTGCTATAGCTCAAATAGAAATGATGGGCTTGATACTGGAATTACTGAGTGAGACTCTATGGCCTGTGTTATGTAGAAGGTCGGACTAGATGATCAAAATGGTCCCTTCTGACCTCAAATTCTATGAATCTATATATTAAAAAGGAGGAAAATAAATGAATGATAACTACAGTATGAAAAGAGCAGTGTTCAT